TTGTTATTCTTGATTACTAATCATACTATAGATAATACATACAATCTTAAAATACATCATTTCAGTAAGTTAATCTTCACTTAGAAAATCTGGTTGTTACATGTAAAATATAGCTTTTTAAAACTTTCATTTAAAAATAAAAATCTATGAAAATCTTTAAAATCAGTGACAGTGGAAATTATAAAAGTTGATGCTAAAAAATTCTACTTTCACATAACATGTCTTAAAATATTATAAAAAATACTCTTTACTCTGAAAGCAATGTCAGGAAAAAAACATGAGTTCCTTCAAAACCTCTACTTTTAATTATCCAGTTGCTGTCTCGGACAAGACAAGAATACACTTTTTTTTTTAATCCTCACCTGAGGATATGTTTATTGCTTTTAGAGAGAGGAAAAGAGAGAGAAACATTGATTTTTTGTTCCACCTATTTATGCATTCATTGGTTGTTTTTTGTATATGCCCTGGTAGGAAATTGAGCCCTCAATCTTGGTGTATCCCAACAACACTCTAACCAACTGAGCTACCTGGCCAGGGCCATGAATGTATTTCTTAATGCAACTAAAACTTCCTGCATATGTTAAGCAAGATTTTTTAAAGTATATATAATATACATACATATGTGTATATGTGTTTGAGAAACATAACAGAAAGAAATTTTCTTTTAAGACAGTTAAGGAACCCAAAAAATTGAGAGATTAAATTACTAAATATCAGAGGCCAAATTCTTTTTCACTTTCCATCAATAACTTCAGCAAAAGCCATCTGACCTTTCCTTTCAATATTCTCTGAACTTTCCTGCAAAAATCCTCTAGAAAGGCACCATGAAATGTTTGGGGTTTTGTTCCTCCTCTTTTAAAAACAATTAAAACTGCATACTGACAATAACATGGGCAAATCTCAAGCCGATTTGCCATCAAGTTCAAGCATGTGGGCTTGCATTCATTCACCTACCCGTCTGTGTCTCTAACTTCAACACCTTCAGTAATCCATCTTCGCCCCCACACGCGATGAATCCTTGGTCCTTGTTCCAAGAGATACATTTCAGCTTCACGTTATTGGGAATGGCGATCTGAAAAGCAACCAGAACCGCTCACAACTTCTTACGAAGGAGGTGAAAAGTGAGTCTACGGGAGCTCCAAGGCTGAAGAAAATCCCCCCAAGAAAATGGGCGTAGTCCCTGAACTGTGAGAGAGAGACGTGCCCACCAACAAGGGCACACACAGCAGAGGAGCCCAAGGCGGGAGTTGCCTGGTGGGTTTTTAAAAGGAGACGGAGATGGCAATGCATCCCCTCCGGCCGCGTTCCCTTTCCCCGCACATACCTAAGCTACCCTTTTGCAATTCTTCTTCTCTTCCCTGGAGGCCCATGATGGCCCAAAGAATCTAAGTCACCTGGATCAGCAGCAGGTGGAGAAGCCGCGCTGGGGAAGCACCCACTGATCTGTCCCCCTGGCCCCGCTAAAGAACCCCGCCTGGGGCCGCCCTGGCAGAGAGTCGCACGGGAGGGCGGCTGGGCGCGCCCGGGACGCTCTGGGGACCGGCGGGAGGAGGTCCGATGCTGGACCAGGAGAGATGCAGAAGCCGCGACCCAGACAGATGCGGGCAGAGGCGGGGACGGAGAAGCGCGGGCGCCCCCGGAACACTCACTCTCTTGCTCAGATAAAAGAACATCCTGGAGGCCCGAGGGCACGACCCCAGCCGCCAAGGCCCGCCGCCGGGAGCTCTTTCTGGAGTCGCTAATTGCCAGGACCAGCGGCTCTTGGAAGCTCCCGTTGCCCTGGCAACCCGGTCGCATCCG